TACGGCCAGGTAGCGTAGTTGGTTTATCATCGGATTTGTAATCGTAAGATTGCGAGTTCGAATCCCACTGCCTGCCTAGTCGTGGGGTGAGCGTCGTTGACGCTCTGCTAAGGATCCCGAGTGGTCTATGTAGCCCCACGGTTCACTCAGCCGAATGCTCGAGAAATCGGGTGTGAGGGTTAAATGAGGAGCTGTGCTTGATCAACACAGCGAAGCCTCGGGCGAAGAAAGTGTGGCATAGTGCCTTAACCGTTGCTGGCCTTAGGAACGATCCTTCGGCTTCTTGTAAAGCTCTTCCTTGAAAGTGCTGGTTTACATTGTAATGCAGGTAATGCCGAAGTAAAATAACAAAGGTGGTCGACTCATTCGATGGCCTTGTTGCGTCGCAACGAATCCTCATAAGATAAGAAGAAGAAGATAAGATACTTTAATATAACCAAATATTAATCAAGCTATATTTTAGATTTGCAGATAAGCCTGTTTCTAGTATGAAACTGGAAGAACTTGAATGTACATCCAGTTTTAACAAAAAGTGGTGCAGAGTTATGAGCTAAAAACCACATACACACCAAATTTGAAAGCTTTTGCCCAAAAATCGATCAAATTTCAATATTTTTTAATGAGACTAACTTTATATGATTTAAGATATATATATAGATCAATGTCTGTTGAATAGTGTAAAAAGACCACCATGAACAAAATTTCCCAAATCACAGTCCACGATACTCGTCAAAATGACTTCATTAAAATTGAAATAACAGTTTTCAATATTTTTGCATGAAATTTTCGGAATCGATTAAAAATCGCATTTCAAGCTTATTTTGGGCAGCGATTTTTGATTTAGGCCTCCAAAAAGTTAGGGATGTATTAAAGTATATTAAAGTATATTAAAGTATATCCCAGCCCTCAAATCGGAAAAAAACCTACATTTTAATATACTTTGATATGGTCAGCCACCCCTCCCCCTATTTAAGGTTATTTTAGAAAATTCATTGGCATAGATCCTTCAGATAATTGATAGGTTCAACTAACAGGAAGATAATATATTCTTTTATTTGCGAACTAAGTGACAGCTGTAATACTTTTGCTGTAAATCAATATTTAATAAGTTTTACCATCTTCCACTTTATAACGTTATCTATAGTAATGATTTTTCTCTCCTATCCAAATTTCTTTCGTCATCAAATGAAATCAGTACAATCCAAAAATCCATAAAAGTATATAGTATATACTCACTATATAGTATATTATATAGTGTATATTATGTTATTATAGTATTATATAGTTTAATATGTCATTACGTTATATTTCAAATAAAAGTTTCTTTGAAATTTGACGAACATTCACATTTCAGGCAGCCAACAAGAAAGGGAAAAAGCTGGATCTCTCTAAAAACCAGATTACAGTTCTGCCAGTAAGATAACAATTTTTACATGTGCTATTACTGGTGTTGTTTACATGTGCTATTACTGGTGTTGTTTACATGTGCTATTACTGGTGTTGTTTACATGTGCTATTACTGGTGTTGTTTACATGTGCTATTACTGGTGCTGTTTACATGTGCTATTACTGGTGTTGTTTACATGTGCTATTACTGGTGTTGTTTATATGTGCTATTACTGGTGTTGTTTACATGTGCTATTACTGGTGTTGTTTACATGTGCTATTACTGGTGTTGTTTATATGTGCTATTACTGGTGTTGTTTACATGTGCTATTACTGGTGTTGTTTACGTGTGCTATTACTGGTGTTGTTTACATGTGCTATTACTGGTGTTGTTTACATGTGCTATTACTGGTGTTGTTTACATGTGCTATTACTGGTGCTGTTTACATGTGCTATTACTGGTGTTGTTTACATGTGCTATTACTGGTGTTGTTTACATGTGCTATTACTGGTGTTGTTTACATGTGCTATTACTGGTGTTGTTTATATGTGCTATTACTGGTGTTGTTTACATGTGCTATTACTGGTGCTGTTTACATGTGCTATTACTGGTGTTGTTTACATGTGCTATTACTGGTGTTGTTTACATGTGCTATTACTGGTGCTGTTTACATGTGCTATTACTGGTGTTGTTTACATGTGCTATTACTGGTGTTGTTTACATGTGCTATTACTGGTGTTGTTTACATGTGCTATTACTGGTGTTGTTTACATGTGCTATTACTGGTGTTGTTTACATGTGCTATTACTGGTGTTGTTTACATGACGTGCTATTACTGGTGTTGTTTACATGTGCTATTACTGGTGTTGTTTACATGTGCTATTACTCTCTCTCCAACCTCAGGATAATTTTGTGTTTTCAATGGGTCACCTTGTCAAGTTAGATCTGTCTGCTAACGGATTGAGAGTACTTCCAGACAACTTTGGTAACTTGGCTCTACTGCAACACTTAGATTTGTTCAACAACAAACTGACTGTCCTTCCTGTCGGCTTCTACAAAGTAAGACATTAATCGTTAGATGTTGTGAAAACAAGTAGGATTGGGAGCTCAGCTTACGCTCTGGGGTACACTTCCCCCCTACACCTGATCCCCCCCCCCCCCCCCCCCCCCCCCACACACACTCCCCACCCCCCACATTTCCCCCACTTCTCCCCCTACTTCTCCCCCAACCCCCCCCCCCCCCCCCCACTGCAACAATCTGAAGAAACATTCTCGTTTTTTTTCAGTTGAAACTGTTAAAGTGGTTGGATGTGAAGGAGAACCCACTGGAGTATCCTGTACAAGAGGTAGTGGGGCTGTGTAGGAACGACACCGAGTGTAAAACTTGTGCTCTCCAGGTCTCAATATATTTCACTTTGATTTTATCTTTTTTTCACTTTCGTTTTCTAAGTTGACCTAAATCTATCTATTTAGAGTGACCCCCAGACAAAATGTCTACAGTCATTCGTATAAAACTGTTTGTATGAAGTTTCCTAATTTTCTTTTAGATTGAAAGCTATTTAAATCAGGTTTCAGATTTTATGAAGAAGGAAAATGCTGAACAAGAAAAGAAAAAACAAAAAGAGCTCGAGCTGAAAAGAGGTTGGTTCTCCGTTCGCGAATATTTCAATGTTTCAAAATAAGTTTCGTTTTTCGCTCTCTCATTGAGTCCAGACTCTCATCCCCAGTATCTATCATTTCAATCTTTGGTTCCGAATCCATATCTAAAATCAGGAACTGTCTACCCCCCCCTCAGGAACTGTCAACTACCCTCACCCCCCCCCCCCCCCTCAAGAACTGTCAACTACCCTCACCCCCCCCCCCTCAGGAACTGTCAACTACCCTCACCCCCCCCCCCCCCTCAGGAACTGTCAACTACCCTCACCCCCCCCCCTCAGGAACTGTCAACTACCCTCACCCCCCCCCCCCCCCTCAGGAACTGTCAACTACCCTCACCCCCCCCCCCCCTCAGGAACTGTCAACTACCCTCACCCCCCCCCCTCAGGAACTGTCAACTACCCTCACCCCCCCCCCCCTCAGGAACTGTCAACTACCCTCACCCCCCCCCCCTCAGGAACTGTCAACTACCCTCACCCCCCCCCCCCCCTCAGGAACTGTCAACTACCCTCACCCCCCCTCAGGAACTGTCAACTACCCTCACCCCCCCCCCTCAGGAACTGTCAACTACCCTCACCCCCCCCCCTCAGGAACTGTCAACTACCCTCACCCCCCCCTCAGGAACTGTCAACTACCCTCACCCCCCCCCCTCAAGAACTGTCAACTACCCTCACCCCCCCCCCTCAGGAACTGTCAACTACCCTCACCCCCCCCCCCCTCAGGAACTGTCAACTACCCTCACCCCCCCCCCCCCCCCTCAGGAACTGTCAACTACCCTCACCCCCCCCCCTCAGGAACTGTCAACTACCCTCACCCCCCCCCCCTCAGGAACTGTCAACTACCCTCACCCCCCCCCCCCTCAGGAACTGTCAACTACCCTCACCCCCCCCCCCCCCTCAGGAACTGTCAACTACCCTCACCCCCCCCTCAGGAACTGTCAACTACCCTCACCCCCCCCCCCCCTCAGGAACTGTCAACTACCCTCACCCCCCCCCCTCAGGAACTGTCAACTACCCTCACCCCCCCCTCAGGAACTGTCAACTACCCTCACCCCCCCCCCCTCAGGAACTGTCAACTACCCTCACCCCCCCCCTCAGGAACTGTCAACTACCCTCACCCCCCCCCCCCCCCCCTCAGGAACTGTCAACTACCCTCACCCCCCCCCCTCAGGAACTGTCAACTACCCTCACCCCCCCCCCCCTCAGGAACTGTCAACTACCCTCACCCCCCCCCCCTCAGGAACTGTCAACTACCCTCACCCCCCCCCCCCCCTCAGGAACTGTCAACTACCCTCACCCCCCCCCCCCTCAGGAACTGTCAACTACCCTCACCCCCCCCCCTCAGGAACTGTCAACTACCCTCACCCCCCCCCCCCCCCACCTCCACCTACAGTATCACAGTCCATACATTAGATAGGATTTAAATCGCCAAAGTTTCGGCACAACTTTCACAATGTTGATAAAACGCACTCTGTAGCAAAAAAAGAAGCGTTAAAGAGGGAGCTAGAGAGATTGGAAGAGTTGGAGAATGAGGAGAAGAAGAGGATAAGGCAGGAGGGCAAAGCTAAGGAGAAGGCCAAGAGAAGGGCTGAGTTCGAAAAGAAGCAGAGCCAGGAGCAGATCAAGGAAGAGTCCCAGGTGTGAATTGTGAACCCCCCCCCCCCTCCCCCCCCCCATAATTGATCTTGTGGATCAAGTCGACGATATATTTCGGCTCATATTCATTTTTCGGCTCATATTTCTTAGAAAGTTAGAACTATATTATAACTGGTAATACTAATTCAGAAGTGTACTCCCCCTACGATAGCAGTTAAACACAGTTCTAGAAGTCTCCCCGACCTGAACAGGATCTGTCTTATGTCAGCTCTGGTTCTATTTGTGGTAGCTGTAACTCTTGCTCTCCTCGTGAAACCGGATTTTGGGGACCAATACGTCGGTTTAACAAGTTCGTTTGGTGGGATTAAACGTCATGTTTTATGTGATAGCGGCTGCTACTGTTATTATTTGAAAAGTAACACTACTAAAGATAATTACTAAAGTATGCAGCTAATTATAACTTTTTGGCTTACTGATGATACAGTACTATGAACGTATAACTGACTAATATACTAATATTGTTACTGTTCACAGCGGTAACGGCGGACGTTTTAAAGTCAGTGGGAGATGCGTTTAGTCCGGTAGCAACAACACTCAACACTCACCTCCTCACACATGCTCCTAGTTAGTAACAACACTCAACACTCACCTCCTCACACATGCTCCTAGTTAGTAACAACACTCAACACTCACCTCCTCACACATGCTCCTAGTTAGTAACAACACTCAACTCTCACCTCCTCACACATGCTCCTAGTTAGTAACAACACTCAACACTCACCTCCTCACACATGCTCCTAGTTAGTAACAACTCTCACCTCCTCACACATGCTCCTAGTTAGTAACAACACTCACCTCCTCACACATGCTCCTAGTTAGTAACAACACTCACCTCCTCACACATGCTCCTAGTTAGTAACAACACTCACCTCCTCACACATGCTCCTAGTTAGTAACAACACTCACCTCCTCACACATGCTCCTAGTTAGCAACAACACTAAACTCTCACCTCCTCACACATACTCCTAGTTAGTAACAACACTCAACTCTCACCTCCTCACACATGCTCCTAGTTAGTAACAACACTCAACTCTCACCTCCTCACACATGCTCCTAGTTAGTAACAACACTCACCTCCTCACACATGCTCCTAGTTAGCAACAACACTCACCTCCTCACACATGCTCCTAGTTAGTAACAACACTCACCTCCTCACACATGCTCCTAGTTAGCAACAACACTCACCTCCTCACACATGCTCCTAGTTAGCAACAACACTCACCTCCTCACACATGCTCCTAGTTAGTAACAACACTCACCTCCTCACACATGCTCCTAGTTAGTAACAACACTCACCTCCTCACACATACTCCTAGTTAGCAACAACACTAAACTCTCACCTCCTCACACATACTCCTAGTTAGTAACAACACTCAACTCTCACCTCCTCACACATGCTCCTAGTTAGTAACAACTCTCACCTCCTCACACATGCTCCTAGTTAGTAACAACACTCACCTCCTCACACATGCTCCTAGTTAGTAACAACACTCACCTCCTCACACATGCTCCTAGTTAGTAACAACACTAAACTCTCACCTCCTCACACATACTCCTAGTTAGTAACAACACTCAACTCTCACCTCCTCACACATGCTCCTAGTTAGTAACAACTCTCACCTCCTCACACATACTCCTAGTTAGCAACAACACTAAACTCTCACCTCCTCACACATACTCCTAGTTAGTAACAACACTCAACTCTCACCTCCTCACACATGCTCCTAGTTAGTAACAACTCTCACCTCCTCACACATGCTCCTAGTTAGTAACAACACTCACCTCCTCACACATGCTCCTAGTTAGTAACAACACTCACCTCCTCACACATGCTCCTAGTTAGTAACAACTCTCACCTCCTCACACATGCTCCTAGTTAGTAACAACTCTCAACACTCACCTCCTCACACATGCTCCTAGTTAGTAACAACAATCAACACTCACCTCCTCACACATGCTCCTAGTTAGTAACAACTCTCACCTCCTCACACATGCTCCTAGTTAGTAACAACACTCACCTCCTCACACATGCTCCTAGTTAGTAACAACTCTCAACACTCACCTCCTCACACATGCTCCTAGTTAGTAACAACATTCAACACTCACCTCCTCACACATGCTCCTAGTTAGTAACAACACTCACCTCCTCACACATGCTCCTAGTTAGTAACAACTCTCACCTCCTCACACATGCTCCTAGTTAGTAACAACTCTCACCTCCTCACACATGCTCCTAGTTAGTAACAACACTCACCTCCTCACACATGCTCCTAGTTAGTAACAACTCTCAACACTCACCTCCTCACACATGCTCCTAGTTAGTAACAACTCTCACCTCCTCACACATGCTCCTAGTTAGTAACAACACTCACCTCCTCACACATGCTCCTAGTTAGTAACAACTCTCAACACTCACCTCCTCACACATGCTCCTAGTTAGTAACAACAATCAACACTCACCTCCTCACACATGCTCCTAGTTAGCAACAACACTCACCTCCTCACACATGCTCCTAGTTAGTAACAACTCTCACCTCCTCACACATGCTCCTAGTTAGTAACAACACTCACCTCCTCACACATGCTCCTAGTTAGTAACAACACTCAACACTCACCTCTTCACACATGCTCCTAGTTAGTAACAACACTCACCTCCTCACACATGCTCCTAGTTAGTAACAACACTCACCTCCTCACACATGCTCCTAGTTAGTAACAACACTCAACACTCACCTCTTCACACATGCTCCTAGTTAGTAACAACACTCAACATTCACCTCCTCACACATGCTCCTAGTTAGTAACAACTCTCAACTCTCACCTCCTCACACATGCTCCTAGTTAGTCACAACACTCAACACTCACCTCTTCACACATGCTCCTAGTTAGTAACAACACTCAACACTCACATCCTCACACATGCTCCTAGTTAGTAACAACTCTCAACTCTCACCTCCTCACACATGCTCCTAGTTAGTCACAACACTCAACACTCACCTCTTCACACATGCTCCTAGTTAGTAACAACACTCAACACTCACCTCCTCACACATGCTCCTAGTTAGTAACAACTATCAACTCTCACCTCCTCACACATGCTCCTAGTTAGTAACAACACTCAACTCTCACCTCCTCACACATGCTCCTAGTTAGTAACAACACTCACCTCCTCACACATGCTCCTAGTTAGTAACAACACTCAACTCTCACCTCCTCACACATGCTCCTAGTTAGTAACAACACTCAACTCTCACCTCCTCACACATGCTCCTAGTTAGTAACAACTCTCACCTCCTCACACATGCTCCTAGTTAGTAACAACACTCACCTCCTCACACATGCTCCTAGTTAGTAACAACTATCAACTCTCACCTCCTCACACATGCTCCTAGTTAGTAACAACACTCAACTCTCACCTCCTCACACATGCTCCTAGTTAGTAACAACACACACCTCCTCACACATGCTCCTAGTTAGTAACAACACTCAACTCTCACCTCCTCACACATGCTCCTAGTTAGTAACAACACTCAACTCTCACCTCCTCACACATGCTCCTAGTTAGTAACAACACTCACCTCCTCACACATGCTCCTAGTTAGTAACAACACTCACCTCCTCACACATGCTCCTAGTTAGTAACAACACTCACCTTCTCACACATGCTCCTAGTTAGTAACAACACTCACCTCCTCACACATGCTCCTAGTTAGTAACAACACTCACCTCCTCACACATGCTCCTAGTTAGTAACAACACTCAACTCTCACCTCCTCACACATGCTCCTAGTTAGTAACAACACTCAACTCTCACCTCCTCACACATGCTCCTAGTTAGTAACAACTCTCACCTCTCACCTCCTCACACATGCTCCTAGTTAGTAACAACTCTCACCTCCTCACACATGCTCCTAGTTAGTAACAACTCTCACCTCTCACCTCCTCACACATGCTCCTAGTTAGTAACAACCCTCAACTCTCATCTCCTCACACATGCTCCTAGTTAGTAACAACACTCACCTCCTCACACATGCTCCTAGTTAGTAACAACTCTCACCTCCTCACACATGCTCCTAGTTAGTAACAACACTCACCTCCTCACACATGCTCCTAGTTAGTAACAACTCTCACCTCCTCACACATGCTCCTAGTTAGTAACAACTCTCACCTCCTCACACATGCTCCTAGTTAGTAACAACTCTCACCTGTCACCTCCTCACACATGCTCCTAGTTAGTAACAACACTCACCTCCTCACACATGCTCCTAGTTAGTAACAACTCTCACCTCCTCACACATGCTCCTAGTTAGTAACAACACTCACCTCCTCACACATGCTCCTAGTTAGCAACAACACTCAACTCCTCACACATGCTCCTAGTTAGTAACAACTCTCACCTCCTCACACATGCTCCTAGTTAGTAACAACACTCACCTCCTCACACATGCTCCTAGTTAGTAACAACGCTCACCTCCTCACACATGCTCCTAGTTAGTAACAACTCTCACCTCCTCACACATGCTCCTAGTTAGTAACAACACTCACCTCCTCACACATGCTCCTAGTTAGTAACAACACTCAACTCTCACCTCCTCACACATGCTCCTAGTTAGCAACAACACTCACCTCCTCACACATGCTCCTAGTTAGTAACAACACTCACCTCCTCACACATACTCCTAGTTAGTAACAACGCTCACCTCCTCACACATGCTCCTAGTTAGTAACAACACTCAACTCTCACCTCCTCACACATGCTCCTAGTTAGTAACAACTCTCACCTCCTCACACATGCTCCTAGTTTGTAACAACTCTCACCTCCTCACACATGCTCCTAGTTAGTAACAACACTCACCTCCTCACACATGCTCCTAGTTAGTAACAACACTCAACTCTCACCTCCTCACACATGCTCCTAGTTAGTAACAACACTCAACTCTCACCTCCTCACACATGCTCCTAGTTAGTAACAACTCTCACCTCCTCACACATGCTCCTAGTTAGTAACAACACTCACCTCCTCACACATGCTCCTAGTTAGTAACAACACTCAACTCTCACCTCCTCACACATGCTCCTAGTTAGCAACAACACTCACCTCCTCACACATGCTCCTAGTTAGTAACAACACTCACCTCCTCACACATACTCCTAGTTAGTAACAACGCTCACCTCCTCACACATGCTCCTAGTTAGTAACAACACTCACCTCCTCACACATGCTCCTAGTTAGTAACAACACTCAACTCTCACCTCCTCAAACATGCTCCTAGTTAGTAACAACACTCACCTCCTCACACATGCTCCTAGTTAGTAACAACACTCAACTCTCACCTCCTCACACATGCTCCTAGTTAGTAACAACTCTCACCTCCTCACACATGCTCCTAGTTAGTAACAACACTCACCTCCTCACACATGCTCCTAGTTAGTAACAACACTCAACTCTCACCTCCTCACACATGCTCCTAGTTAGTAACAACACTCACCTCCTCACACATGCTCCTAGTTAGTAACAACACTCACCTCCTCACACATACTCCTAGTTAGTAACAACGCTCACCTCCTCACACATGCTCCTAGTTAGTAACAACACTCACCTCCTCACACATGCTCCTAGTTAGTAACAACACTCAACTCTCACCTCCTCAAACATGCTCCTAGTTAGTAACAACACTCACCTCCTCACACATGCTCCTAGTTAGTAACAACACTCACCTCCTCACACATGATCCTAGTTAGTAACAACACTCACCATTTTGAGTAATGAGTTTGGCTATTGTATATATATAGTAGTATAGTATACTATTGTTCATTTTCTTATTTTTTATGCCACCCCAGATATTCAGAAGTCTATCGTTTCAACAGGAGAATTGCTCAGAGAAATGCTGGTAAGATTAATCCCCCATACTAATTACTGATACCTGGATAATGAGATTTCTCATATTCTTTATTACCCCTCCTTTTTGGTTCCCACTCTTTATTGCGGGTGGGCGACAATTGACCCCCCGACAATATAATTTAATACAATTGACCCTGACCCTGACCCTGACCCTGACCCTGACCCTGACCCTGACCCTGACCCTGACCCTGACCCTGACCCTGACCCTGACCCTGACCCTGACCCTGACCCTGACCCTGACCCTGACCCTGACCCTGACCCTGACCCTGACCCTAACCCTAACCCTGACCCTGACCCAGGACTCTGACTCTAACCCTAACCCTAACCCTAACCCTTACCCTGACCCAGGACCCTAACCCTAACCCTAACCCTGACCCAGGATCCTGACCCTAACCCGATCAATTGACCCAGTGTAATTACATGAGGGGTCAATTGTCGGGGGGTCAATTGTCGTACTAAACCCTAGATTTCGCGACAATTGACCCCAGTGTAATTACATAGGGGTCAATTGTCGGGGGGTCAATTGTCGGGGGGTCAATTGTCGGTGGGTCAATTGTCGTACTAAACCCTAGATTTCGCGACAATTGACCCCAGTGTAATTACATAGGGGTCAATTGTCGGGGGGTCAATTGTCGGGGTGTCAATTGTCGGTGGGTCAATTGTCGGGGGGTCAATTGTCGCGGTACCTTTATTGCCCCCCTCTTTATTACCACACCTCACTGTTAATTGCCCCACTCTTTATCCCCCCTCCCCTTTTTGGCTCCCACTCTTTATAATTGCCCCCACCCCACTTTTATTGCCCCTCTCTTTATCCTCCCCCTTTTTGGCCCCCACTATTTATTGGCCCCCACCCTCCACTCTTTATCCCCCCCCCCCCCCCTTTTTGGCTCCCACTCTTTATCCCCCCTCCTTCTTTTTGGCCCCCACTCTTTATTCCCCCCCCCCCACTCCTTCTTCATCCCCCCCCCCTCACTCATTATTACATCACACTATAAAGTCCACATTTCGTTTATTATGTGGTTGAACATTTCACATGTTACTATGTTGACGCTACATGTTCAGGAGATATGTGGAGATACCGTGAAGCTAGGATACGAGCTTGCTATTCAGGAACTCTCACAATTCTCAACTTATATTCAGAAAACCAGTTCTTAGGACCCTCGTCAACCCATCATTGACAAGGTCATAGCTATACTACTACTACTTGTACCGCAAAATGAGATAGGTGCATCTTAAGTTATTTGGGATTTTTTGCGTAGCGTTTCAGATATGATAAACTTTTTAGTTTTAAAGTTTTTGATAATATTTATGATTTTAAGTGTTGTAACTTGCTATAATGTTAGAATTGTATTATCAATGCAACTTTAAATCATATTTACTTTTTTTGGCTTGATTTTGAGAATATTGAGTCTACGTTGACGAAAAAAAAATTGGTAAATTAAAAATCAGAACATTAATTGAAATATAACGGTTAAATTGTCAATATATCGCTAATAATAACAGTTTACAAAACTATATCGTCTAAATTAATACTAATTCCTGTCCATGCATAAATCAAAACTCGGGTTCACGCTCTTTACACTATTACAAAAATCCAGCGTTCTTAAATCCTAATCTTCGTCCAACTATGGTCCAATATTGGAAATTGGTGAGCCATCACGATGACACAATAATGCATATATTATGTATTATTTGCATAATAATGCATATATTATGCATAATAATGCATATATTATGTATTATTCGGACCGAATGTTCAATTAATAGCAGTATCTTTTACCGCTCCTACTATACTAGCCTATCTTTTACCCATGTTTTCAGCTTCATCTACAATGAAACGGTTTGTTTATCTTTCCACACTTGAAATTCTATCTTGATGCGTTACAAAAGAATATATGTAAAATTGCTTTAAAATTAAAAAGGTGTTTATCATGCAGCGTCACTTACTCCATTAACTTCTATCAAAACAGTGAAATAGAAAGTGCGAACTATCAAAGCTCCGCAAGCAATCCTCGAGCTCGTTCAATTGTACGCTCGTAAAAAGTTCTCCTTTTAAATCACGCCAGGAAATGACACGTGTGAGTCATTGGCTTATTTTGGGTTTCATAATGATGCGTTATTTAGGAGGACTATTTTTTGCGAGCGCACTTAAAAGCGTAAGTCTGTTGAACAGTCACATGACTAATGACCCCCCCCCCCCCCCCCCCCCGCCCCCACCCTCTAACGTACGAAACTGCCCTAACTCAGCACCCCTCCCCCCCCTCCCCTAACATACGACATTTCCCTAACTTAGCTTAGGGAAATGTGGTAGCATGTGATGGTGACTCTTCATTCTAGATTCTGAGCCATATCCGGTCTGATGCCCAAATCTGCAAGACTCTGCTTTTTCCTGATTCCTGGGGGGGTAGGTAGTGTGTTATAACATTTTATATTTCTATTACTACTATTATACAATATACAGTGTCTTTACTTTCTTACTTCTATTATTTTTTAAACCTTGAAATTTTCATTCTAAAATTTTAAAATTCTTAATAGTACTATTTAGATTTGCTAATAGCATAATCATATTTTATACATTATTAATATTTTATACATTGTGTGCATATATTTATATTTGATTGTAATTAAAGATTTTAAGGCGTTAGTGCCGAGTAATGCCTTCGGGTAGTGCTCCTCAATCAATCAAATCATTTTATTTGTGTTCCTATTACGAACCAGCTGGTTTCGGTTTCTCTTTTCTCTTCTCCTCGAAAATAAGGATCATTCTAAGCACACTGTTCTTGCCTCCCAACATCATTATAAGGAAGTCCGGGTAGTTTATTGTGCCTTTGTCCGTCGAGTCCACCTGGAATAATTAGTGGGTTATCACACTGTAGTCACACTGTAGTTACACTGTAGTCACACTAGTAGTTACACTGTAGTCACACTGTAGTTACACTAGTAGTTACACTGTAGTCACACTGTAGTTACACTAGTAGTCACACTGTAGTCACACCATGTAGTTGCACTAGTAGTCGCACTGTAGTCACACTGTAGTCACACTGTAGTCACACTAGTAGTTACACTGTAGTCACACTGTAGTCACACTGTAGTTACACTGTAGTTACACTAGTAGTCGCACTGTAGTCACACTGTAGTCACACTGTAGTTACACTGTAGTTACACTGTAGTTACACTAGTAGTCACACTGTAGTCACACTGTAGTCGCACTGTAGTCACACTAGTAGTAGATCTGTAGTTTTATTTATATGCACTATTATTTCTGTTAACCTCACGAATGTGTTATCACTTCTTATCGTAAAGGATTCTATAAAACAAAAGGCATTGATTGGATTGTCAATAAGGGGGGGGGGGGGGGGGGGGGGGGATTCGAATAGATTATTATAACATTTATCATACATACAGTCTCAATCATTTTCTTTATTTCCAAGTGAGTTTTCGGCTGTTCCAACCTGAACGATTATAGGTATACTTCACACTGTAGTTACACTAGTAGATTAGAGGTATACTTCACACTGTAGTTACACTAGTAGATTAGAGGTATACTTTTGATTGGCTTAGTTCGGTAGACATGCTATATTGACACAAATTTGACAACATCAATGGGACTTTAATTTTACCAGGCCCATTTAAAATTAAAATTCCAGACACAGGTTAATCTGAAATTAGATGAATGTGAATTTGCTATAAGTACAGGTTGCCTGGAGTTGGGAAATGTGTTACTCACTTTTCCAACATATATTTGAGTTCCATGAAGTCGATGTCACCTGAGCCGTCTGTATCGAATCTGATGAACTGCGCTTTGTAAGTCGTCAATTTCTCCTCTAAATCTTCCACCTTAAGTTTAATAATTAGTTAATAATATATATGTTTTAAATATCCCCCTCCAGGTTAATAATTTATTAATAATATAAATGTTAGAATCAATGCTACTACTACTAACACTGACCTTGTGTTTTATGAAGGAGTAATGGTTTATGTGTATTGTGTAATACTGACCTTGTGTTTTATGAAGGAGTAATGGTTTATGTGTAATACTGACCTTGTGTTTTATGAAGGAGTAATGGTTTATGTGTAATATTAACACTGACCTTGTGTTTTATGAAGGAGTAATGGTTTATGTGTAATACTGACCTTGTGTTTTATGAAGGAGTAATGGTTTATGTGTAATACTGACCTTGTGTTTTATGAAGGAGTAATGGTTTATGTGTAATACTAATACTGACCTTGTGTTTTATGAAGGAGTAATGGTTTATGTGTAATACTGACCTTGTCGTATGTTCCGCTGGAGAGAAATTGTTGGTTTATTTCATTTAAATCCTTCTCTCGTTGTTTCATTAGAACCCCAAAGGCTTTGCCTCCTTGGTAGTTGTTTGTGTTCGACATTTTACCTAGAACTAAAAAAATGAGAATTAAAACTTTTCAACGAACATTTTTACTTTTGCTGAGTTGTTTTATTCAAAGTTAATGTCTAACAGTTACACATTTTAAACACCGTTATTAATATTAGGGTATAGCTGTACAATAACGCGCAATAACGCACAATAGCTGTACAATAACGCACAATATCAAAACTGTTTAGTTTCTGACCGTTATATTCGTACGATTTCTAAGTATTACAGACACCCCCTCCCCCTGATGAACGACACCACGGTGACGAATACGAAGCCTCATTCCCACCCTCCTACTCCTGCAGCGAACTCATTCTACACAGCAAAACAGAACATGAAACGGAAACGCAGAGAAGTCTTTGTCGCACTTCAGTTCGTGTCGCACTTCAGTTGAAGTAGCGTACTGTAGTGCGACAGTGTCGATCTTGGAGGTTTTCGCACTAGGGTACGTGTCGCACTAGGGTACGTGTCGCACTACAGTACGGGAATCGAAATGACGAAGTTATCAAGCATTTTAACAAAATTGACTGGGTGACACCGTGAGGCGTGACACCTGAACGATTCCCATAATGTTTTTTTCAAGACAAACGTAATTTGAATGGCCGAACACAATTCAATAAAATTTGGCTCGATCCGACTATCCAAACTATAAAATAAATGCGAAAATAAACCTTCATTTGAAAAAAAATGAACGCAAATCTTTTTCGATTTGACAAATTCCTTTAACCAGTGGTGGTAGTAAGTCATACCAGAAAGAATAATTTAATTGGGCACTCAGTGACTGAGTGCACAATTGACCTGGAAAAATCTTCAAAAAATGAGGTCCATGATTTTCAAAATCGAATAAAAAAATGTCTAAGGCCTATCTCTAGAACATATCATGAATTCCTAGCTAAAAGCGTTCAAGTTACTTTATAGCGACAATAGTGAAAAAGAGGGAGTGGCGTGCCACACCATGTAAAGTATATTAAAGTATATCCCCGCCCTCAAATCAGAAAAAAACCTATGTTTTAGTATACGTTAATATACTCAAAATTAGTCGAGCTATGTTCTTCGTTTAGATTTGCAATATAGTTTTTGGACTAGTACATGAATTTACATCCAGTTTGGACAAAAATGGCTGAGTTATGAGCTAAAAACCATATGCCCAATATTTCTGAATGAGACTAACTTTATGTGAAAGATATAGCTGAATATCTGTTGAATAGTGGATACTAAGTAAAAAGACCATAATATGGTGCTATTTGAACGTTGCTTCATTTCTTCTACATATATATATACATATGATATATCATAATAAAGAATGCTAAACGACAATGAATAATGTAAAACATCGTACAAGTTTCCAATAATTATAACACATCTGTAGCGCAATGGAATTCACGGTATTGAATGACTGAAAATCTCGCGTATTATCTACTCAGGAGCTGAATTCGGAGATCATTCTCATTCCATAGCTCGTAAATTAAGTTTATTGAAGCTGCAGTAAATTAGACTAATCTTAATCTGTAATTTTATCAATAATATTTTAGGCTCTTCCAGAGACAGAGGACCAATAATTCATAATCATATATATATAATTAGCCTTGTCAATTTCTAAATCTAAAGTTCCCAAAAATAATTGAGCTTAACTCGGAACAGATTTGAATAAGCTAAAAACATGTATAAACATATCAACAGGCTGTGTTAATACCAACAACAAGCACAACAGGCTGTGTTAATACTAAAAACAAGCACAACAGATAAAACGTGTCTAGGTGTGTTTTATTATTTAACAAATGACAAATAAAATGTAGCGTAATCTGATACCAGGCACCCTGTGGTACTGGTAGCAGTGTTTAGCCTCTCGTTAATTAGGAGGCTATAACCTGTACTGGTAGCAGTGTTTAGCCTCTCGTTAATTAGGAGGCTATAACTTAATTAAAAATTTAGAAATAGGGGGTGTTTCTCCAACTATAGACAATTTATCTAAAATTAAGGGTGTGACTCAGTCACTATCCCTTGTAACCACAATCCTAGCAGAGTGCTATCTAAAACTGTGGTGTAGCATTACAAACCTAGCAGAGTGCTATCTAAAACTGTAGTGTAGCATTACAATCCTAGCAGAGTGCTATCTAAAACTGTGGTGTAGCATTACAATCCTAGCAGAGTGCTATTTAAAACTGTGGTGTAGCATTACAATCCTAGCAGAGTGCTATCTAAAACTGTGGTGTAGCATTACAATCCTAGCAGAGTGCTATCTAAAACTGTGGTGTAGCATTACAATCCGTGCAGAGGCTGTGGTGTACATTACAACCTACAGAGTGCCTACGTAGCATTACAATCCAGCAGAGTGCTATCTAAAACGGTGGTGTAGCATTACAATCCTAGCAGAGTGCTATCTAAAACTGTGGTGTAGCATTACAATCCTAGCAGAGTGCTATCTAAAACTGTGGTGTAGCATTACAATCCTAGCAGAGTGCTATCTAAAACTGTGGTGTAGCATTACAATCCTAGCAGAGTGCTATCTAAAACTGTGGTGTAGCATTACAATCCTAGCAAGTGCTATCTAAAACTGGTGGTGTAGCATTACAATCCTAGCAGAGTGCTATCTAAAACTGTGGTGTAGCATTACAAACCTAGCAGAGTGCTATCTAAAACTGTAGGTGTAGCATTACAATCCTAGCAAGTGCTATCTAAAACTTGGTGTAGCATTACAATCCTAGCAGAGTGCTATCTAAAACTGTGGTGTAGCATTACAAACCTAGCAGAGTGCTATCTAAAACTGTAGTGTAGCATTACAATCCTAGCAGAGTGCTATCTAAAACTGGTGTAGCATTACAATCCTAGCAGAGTGCTATCTAAAACTGTGGTGTAGCATTACAATCCTAGCAGAGTGCTATCTAAAACTGGTGTAGCATTACAATCCTAGCAGAGTGCTATCTAAAACTGTGGTGTAGCATTACAATCCTAGCAGAGTGCTATCTAAAACTGTGGTGTAGCATTACAATCCTAGCAGAGTGCTATCTAAAACTGTGGTGTAGCATTACAATCCTAGCAGAGTGCTATCTAAAACTGTGGTGTAGCATTACAATCCTTGCAGAGTGCTATCTAAAACTGTGGTGTAGCATTACAAACCTAGCAGAGTGCTATCTAAAACTGTGGTGTAGCATTACAATCCTAGCAGAGTGCTATCTAAAACTGTGGTGTAGCATTACAATCCTAGCAGAGTGCTTCTAAAACTGTGGTGTAGCATTACAATCCTAGCAGAGTGCTATCTAAAACTTGGTGTAGCATTACAATCCTAGCAGAGTGCTATCTAAAACTGTTGTGTAGCATTACAATCCTTGCAGAGTGCTATCTAAAACTGTGGTGTAGCATTACAATCCTAGCAGAGTGCTATCTAAAACTGTAGTGTAGCATTACAATCCTAGCAGAGTGCTATCTAAAACTGTGGTGTAGCATTACAATCCTAGCAGAGTGCTATCTAAAACTGTGGTGTAGCATTACAATCCTAGCAGAGTGCTAATCTAAAACTGTGGTGTAGCATTACAATCCTAGCAGAGTGCTATCTAAAACTGTTGGTGTAGCATTACAATCCTTGCAGAGTGCTATCTAAAGACTGTGGTGTAGGCATACAAACTAGCAGAGTGTCTACTAAAACGTGGGTGTGTAGCAATTACAAATCCTAGCAAGAGTGCTATCTAAAACTGTGTGTAGCATTACAATCCCCAGCTCTATAGCAATTACCAACCTAGTGATCCTATCTAAAACTGTAGTGTAGCAATACAATCCTAGCAGAGTGCTATCTAAAACTGTGGTGAGCATTACAATCCTAGCTAGAGTGCTATCTAAAACTGTGGTGTAGCATACAATCCTAGCAGATGCAGCGGCTATCTAAAACTGAGGTGTAGCAATTACAAACCTAGGCAGAGTGCTATCTAAAACTGTGTGTAGCATACAATCCTAGCAGAGTGCTATCTAAAACTGTGGTGTAGCATTACAATCCTAGCAGAGTGCTCTAAAACTGTAGGTGTAGCAATTACAATCCTAGCAGCGTGCCTATCTAAAACTGTGGTGTAGCATTACAATCCTAGCAGAGTGCTATCTAAAACTGTGGTGTAGCATTACAATCCTAGCAGAGGGCGATCTAAAACTGTGGTGTAGCAGTTACAATCCTAGCAGAGTGCTATCTAAAACTGTTGGTGTAGCATTACAATCCTAGCAGAGTGCTATCTAAAACTGTGGTGTAGCATTACATTCCTAGCAGAGTGCTATCTAAAACTGTGGTGTAGCATTACAATCCTTGCAAGAGTGCGATCTAAAACTGTGGTGTAGCATTACAAACCTAGCAGAGTGCTATCTAAACTGTAGTGTAGCATTACAATCCTAGCAGAGTGCTATCTAAAACTGTGGTGTAGCATTACAATCCTAGCAGAGTGCTATCTAAAAACTGTGGTGTAGCATTACAATCCAGCAGAGTGCTATCTAAAACTGTGGTGTAGCATTACAATCCTTGCAGAGTGCTATCTAAAACTGTGGTGTAGCATTACGACACTGCTCTGAAACTGCAGGTCTTCTCACAAAACGAATTACTAAACAAGATTAACAACAGTGTGATGCCTCCCCACCAGTGATCTAGAGATCACTGTAAGTTACAAAATTAATTATGAGTAATTATGAGTAATGATCCCTCGTCGAGAAAATTCAGCAAGTCAGTACGAACATGTAAAATATTAAATTTGAGTGCAACATTTTGAGTCAGATTGCGGATATTGCAAGTATATTAAAACAATCACGTGACATGCCCATATATGGTCAACACGTGACATGCCCATATATGGTCAACACGTAACATGCCTATATATGGTCAACACGTGACATGCCCATATATGTAAAGAAAGTGTAAGTTAAACTATAGAAGTCGTCCAAAGATTATATAAAGCTTAAAATAGAATAGAAATTGTCAGTTTACAATTTTATTCTCCAGTTTACAAACTATTCTCCAGTTTACAAACTATTCTCCAGT